TTTCTCTGAATTGTATAAATACCATCTACACAAGCTGAGACCATTTGAAAAGGAAAAAAAAAAAGCAGTAAAGACTACTTCACCCAGGGTGTTCTTATAAATAGTGTTCTGAGTGGGATCGGGGTGTTTCGGGCCACAGTTTTCTGGAAATTGTCTAGGATTTCATGGTTGAATGGTGCAGACATTCAAAAAGAAATCAATCACTTATTTAAGCTGAATTAATGATCCTGTGTCTTTTTTTGCACTCTCTAGTGACAATTTTTTCAGTAGATAACAGGGAGAATTATGCTGATTTTTCAGCAAAATTATTTTCTAGGTGTATAAATATCCCTAATCCAGGGCTAAGCATTTTATTGGAGAAAAGGAATCAGGAGCGAGAGCAAAGGATTCTCAATGCTTTGTAGGTGAGAACTACACCATGACTCCAGTGGGACTTGAATGAGACCTCAGCCGCCATGGAATGCAGCCCCTCCCCAGCTCACTAGTAGGAAATGGAGCCTTAGCAGATGCTGTGGGGGCCGAGTTCCACCCCGGGGCTGCATCATTCAGTGTGCTCCAGTGATTTCCAGCTGCCCGGCTCTGCTGTGCTTCGCCTGGGGGCTTTTTCATAACCAAGGAAAGCCAGCTATCCAGGGAATGAATAACACCCAGGAGCTACAACAGCCCACAGCCAGCAACTGGCAGGAGTTGGTGTATAGATACCCCAGTCCTGCACCTCTCAGAGAGATAACCTCTATGCATGGGTCCTACAAGATGTTTAACACAGAGAGTAGGATGCTGGCTTTGGTAGGGAAAGATCTCACTAGAAGTTAATGCTGTAAAAATGTTTTGTTTTCATTGTGTGTGCAAGTTGTCATTTTATGTATGTATATATACAGTGTACATACTATGTGTATAATGTACATATAATATTTGCATATAATAATGTGTATATGATGTATACACACACATTACTTTCTGTTTATGGAAGGTGATACTATTTTTCCATTTACAATTATGTTATAAGGTTTCCTCTTAGAATGGACTTATTTAAGCAAAAATTCTGAATTGACTGAAAGAACATTTAAGTACATGAGAGAGCATGGCCTCCGTCAATATGATAAAAAATTGCAGAGGGTGAGCATGGATGACCACAGTTAGTCCGGTGTCCTCCTGCTCCATTTTGCAGATCCCTCGAGTGTTGTAGCAACGGCCAAGGAGCACAAGAGGACAGAAGGCTGGCTGTAGGCCACTTGCCTCTATTTCAAGCAGGGCAAATGTGTCTTCACTCAGCTGGGAATCTGTGATTGAAAGAGTGAATCAGAGGAAGAATCTGCTGTTTAAACTTCAGTTTGAAAATTTCAGATGGAGTCCAACACTTAATTGATCCAAGAGATTGAGGCCCAGAGAGGGTCAATGACATTTGGCAGTTCCCATGTGGAGTTGATGACAGAGCCAGGACAAGCCCCCAGTCAGTCACATAACTCCCACCCGCGTCCTTCCCCCTGGGCTTGCTTCCTGAGGAGGCAGGAACTTGGGGAGGGCCTTGCAGGAGGCGGGCAGTGACTGGGGGAGAACCGGGGAGATCCAGAAGGGCCCAAGTATGAAGGGACCTGCAGGTGGCTCTGCAGGGGGGTAGGTGGGAAGAACTTGTCACTAAAGGGAGGGTTCAGACCAAGGGAGAGTGAGGCATGAGGTGGGGAAATAGGCGGGGTCAAGCCGGAGGAGAGCCAGAAGGCCTGGTGGGGGGAAGGTCAGCTCGCCAGGACGTGTGGATCCAGATCTCCAAGCTGGGAAATGACACATAAAAACCATGCTTTAGGAGGCAGCGTGATAGAGAGTAACTATGTCCAAATATTGCTTCAGAACACACTGTGGACAAGTTTCTTAGCCTCTCTGTGCCTCAGTGTCCCCATCTATTCAATAGCAATAGCATGAGAACTTCCTTCAGAAGATTTTGGTGAGCACTAACGGAAATAAGACACCATAAAAAGTGCCCGGTACCTAGTAAGTGCTCAATAAATAATGGCTATTATGATGTTTTCTCTGAAGGACTGAATTGAGCCAAGAGAGGGAAGGGCTTTGGCTAAGCTAGGTCATAGCAGAGCTAGAATTAGAAGTCAGTTCTTCTAATTTCTAATTCAATATTCTTTTTCTTTCATTGCATCATGTTTTTAAGCAGGGTATTATTTATTTTATTGAATGTGTTAGCATTTCCACTTGCAAGATGTAGCACCAGTATTGTTTCAGTACAAACATACTTTCACAATGGCTTCCTTCCGGAAAAACCATGCTGACTGATTTATTTCACTCCCTCATTAACATCGCATTTAGAGTGAGTGCACTGCTTGCTTTGAAAAGCGAGACTTCCCATTTTCAGGTCTTCAGCCACTGGCATCGAAGCCTGACTTTGAGCTGTACGAAATTACACATGACATTTGGAATTTAATAACAAATCTGGTAGCTTCTTTGTGTCTGTGGAGAAAATAACATTATTTTGACCAAATGTTATCTTTTTTCCTTTTTTTCATCAAATAAATCATACTTAAAATCCAAGAGCTTCTGTTGTTCTTTATGATTCACTAATCAACCATGAAAGAACAAAACACCCAAATGCTGAAACGTGGATGTCAGCATGTAGGTGGCCCTCTCCCGGAGACTACGGGCTCCCAGAGAGTCAGGACTTGAAGAGACAGCCACTTCCTCAGAGACTCTGTAGCCCACCGCCTTCATCGTGTAGACGAGAAAATTAAGCTCAGGAGGGTGAAGTGAATTCCGCAAAGTCACCAAGCTAGTTGGTGTGTGAAAGGGATTTTGAACCCATTTTTTGCTGACTTTGAGTTTCCATTGCATCATGTCCTGCAACAACTCATGGATTCCTAAGAAGTCTTCTTGCCTTGTTAAGCACAGCAAATCCAGTTTGCTGCTTGTTTTGGCAAATAAGTTTTACTGAAGCACAGTCATGCTCCTTCATATACTTATATCCTCTCTACAGAGGCAGAGCAGCTGCAGCAGAAACCCCCTGGCTACAAAGCCTAAAATACTGACTGTGTTTCCCTACAAGGAGAAGTCTGCCACACCCCGCTGTGTACCAAGCTTAGCTGAAATCCTTTTTGCTTTTATTCTTTTTGTATCAGACTCTACTGTCAAAAGTTGAAGAAAGTGGGTTGGGCAGGGAATAATGGAAAAGGAGAAAAAAGAAAGAGCTACCATTTCTTTATCCAATTTGGGGAGACTTCGTATGTGTCATCTCATTTCATTCTCAGGAAGATGCCTTTCAGATTGCTGTTTTTAGCCCCAGTATATAAATAAGAAAACTGAGGCTCACGGAGATAAGAGCTAAGTTGTCTAAATTTGATGTCACTATTAGCAGAACTAGGGTTTGAGTCCAGCCTTCCCCATTCTAAAAATCTCTATCTACTATACCATATGATTCTCAGAGTTAAGGTTACTTTCAGTGTTTAAAAAAACTTGATACACCATTGCCTAAATTGAAATAGTTTAATTAAAAAATAATGCTGTTTACCAAATTATTTGATAAGTAGTTAGTGATGGGTGAAAATGGTCTAATCCATGATGCTGTAATCAGTTTTGTGTTTGGGTGTTCAATCACACAAGTGAGAGAGTTGGACTGCAGAAATTGAGAACAGAGCATTTTTTAACAATTAGCATTTTGCATATTTGAAGAAACTTGATGGATTAATGATCCCTTCAGCAACAGGCAGAATGGGAATCCCATGTGTATGTCTACACAACTAATTACATAGGCACCATGTTGATGTGTTTTTATGTGATCAGTAATCCCTCCTGTCCAAGACTTGCTAAAATTTTCTAAAGCAGTGGGTACCAAATACATCTAGCCGTCTGAATCACCAGTGAAGTCCCTTAACACATGGACTCCCAGGATCCTCCCCCGCTGTCTAGTCAGTATATCTGGGTTTAGGTTTGGGAATCTGTAATGTTATTTCATTTGTTAACCTCTGGAAGAGACTCTGATGGTCAGCTAGCCTGAGGAACCACTGCTGTGGGAAGTGAGCTGAGGGACACCTGTATCTCTGTGGCAGCCCTGCTGGCCCTCCCCTCCACCCTCTAAGCCTATCTTCTTCCTGAGCCCCAGGCTGGGGACAGTGGGCACATTGTTCTTTGTCTTGGCTGGATGAGGCTGGGGACCAGGGCACCACACCATGTATTTCTCAGCATCCGGTAAAGCAGTGCAAACACATTCTGCCTCCATTGTAATTACTGTGGCTACTTATGCTTTCATTTCCATCATGGCCTTTCTGCTTTCCATTTGCATTTGTGAACATTCATCAAAGGACACCTCAAATGACAGATCAAACTCTGATTTCTTCTGCAACCTGACTATAAAACTCAGGTTCATGGACACCCAGAATTTAGATGACAAAAGGCTATTATCCTGTGTACCCTATTATTCATCTCCTTTTCCTCTCCCACTTTTAAAAAATGTCACTGCAACCATTAAGGATTAAAACCAAAAGGGACTTCAGACCCTGAACGTTTGGTAGTCTCAGTCACCCATTAACTTAAATCTGTCCTCTCCACTACATGGAGGTTATATCAGCCTGATACAACAGGCTTTTACATATAGGTATATAACCACACTTAACCCACATTAATTTTTTTAACAAGTTTCTCTCTTTTCCATAGTATAAGTTAAATGAAATAATTACTGTCAATGGTCTTTGCCAGTGTTATTGAGTGAATGAGAAAGCTAGTTCTTACTCATTTAGGATTAGATATTCTTGTTTCTTTCAGGTGAGTAAGACAAAAATATATGATGTGTGAAGATTTCAACATATCTCATATTATAATTAGGATTGATTAAGTCCTAACAGAGAAAGCTGCAGATATATAATCTACAAAGAGGGAAGACAATGTTTAACATTGGATGTAGAACAATAAAATAATTATATTACTATGAAAGTGTTTCAAATTATTGTATCTGACTGCCAGAGTGAAATATGGCTGACCACAAACATGGAGTCAGTGAGGACATCAGAATGACACTTGGAAGACCCCAACCCATTATAGCCACCATGGTGGGGTTCATGAGATGAGAAACAGTGACTCCGGTTAAAATGCAGTACACTTTTATAAGCCATTAAAATCAGAGGTGAACGAGGAAGCTCTATTAAATTACCGTGGGCAGTATCTTTTGGCTTCTACAAGATTAACAGCACATTTCACAATAGATGTCTTAAGAAATTTAACTAACCATTCATTTAAATCTAACATGAATAAGCTGCAGTTAAACAAGTATTTTATGTCCCAAGTTTAACTGACTCTAATAGACAAGCCTAAATCATGTTTTCAGAATCAAAATTGTCTTTTGTGACAGCATCTCCTTGCCAGACGGTCCTTCCAATAGGGACAAGTACTTCAGAGTAAGGGCAAGCGTGCCTAACAGGTAAAGACAGCAAGATACTTCCCAGAAGTCTGGTGAACTGTTCAAAGTCCCAGTCTGTTGGAAACAAAGGAGATTATGCTACTTCAGAAAGGTAGTTTTGTTTTGAAGGAAATTAAGATCCCTTTACCAATCTCTCTAATGCCCTTCTCATTGAGAAGAAGGGTAAACTGAGGGAGAGAACCTGGCCATGGGTCCCTAAAGGGACTGCCTCCCCTGTGCCTTGGCACTTACTATATTATATATAGTATAGTAGCACTAAATGCTACTATATAATGTTAAGTATTGTCAAAGCATTAAACAAGGACTTCCCAACTAGACTGGGAGCATACCAAAGGCAGGGACCAAGGTGAACTATCTGAACATTACCAGGACCTTCTTTGAGATCTGTTCAAATGTTTGCTGTAGATGTTGGTAATGTTGTTAGGTAGATGAGTTAGTTAATAAATAGAATTTAGAAGTGCAAGAGCACCCAATTCCCTCTAAAAGTTGAGCAGTTCACTCTTTGCCTTAGTTAATATGGAGCATATACCTTCTGTGTAGGAGCAATACATGGAAAATGAGGGTAGAAGTTCACACATTGTATCCATTTATTAATATATTTATACACACTTGGTTATTTAGAAAATGCAACAAAGTGTAAAATCATCAGAATATTTAAATAGGCCAGAACCACAAATGCGTCTTTACTTTCTCCAATAATTTTTTGGTTGAAAGTCACGCCAGTTATATCACCATTTTGCTGAGTATAGGCTGTAGAACTGGTCCTGCTTGGTAATAGTTATTATAGGTACAATTATTCCATGGTTTAATAATTTAGGGAAATTCCAGGTGAAACAAAGTTAAGAGAGATTTCTTTATTACAGAGTTTCTCAAATTTTTGAATTATGCCAACACGCTTTCTGAATCTTCAAGGTTGGAAGGCAGGTAGGATGGATTCACTAGCATCATGTAATTCTTTATGGAACAATTAAGGGACAAGGGATCTGAGGAACACACTTTGGGAAATGCTAAATCAGACACTTTTCTATTGTAGGCTCCTTCTGTTAGAGAAACTTCACCATCCAAGACCTGAAATGCAAGACCTGCAATTCTGTAAAACTTCCTGGAGTGGTGGTTCTCTATCCTGGCTGCCCATTAGAATCACCAGGGAGCTTTAAACAGGCCAGTGCCCAAGCCCCATCCCAGGCCAGCTACATCAGCATCTATGAGGGTGAGTTTTCTGATCTATAAAATGGTAATAATACCTACCCCCAACAGGGTTGCTGTAAAACACAAATGCGATCATGCATGTAAAATACCTACTCTTCAAAAAAAATGTTTCTTTCTGGGGATAGTATAGATTTCCAATTCAGAAATATAGAAAATATTATGAAAATAGAAAATCACTATTTGGCCTCCCTGGTTTTGCACCCATGGATGCTAAAATTAGAGGGTAAATGAATAATGGCGAACAAGATGTTTGCATTGTCTCAGAGTATTTCTCCACAATATACTAGTTAATTGCAAAGGGAAACTTAGTAACTTTCCTGTGAAAGACCATGACAGACCCCATCTTAACCCAGTGATGTAAGGCAGCCTCACCAGTAATGAGGGACCTCAGCGTCACGATCCAAACGGACACTGAGCCGAGCACAGTCTGTAGTATTCTTGCAAATGTACATTATCTGGGTTTACTTACCAGGAAACATCAGACAAACCCAAATCAAAGGACATTTTACACAGTAACTGGCCAGGACTCTTCAAAAGAGTCAAGGTCATGAAAGAAGACTGCAGAGCTGTCCCTGATTGGATGGGACTGAAGAACTATGAAAATTAAAAGCAGTGTGTGAGTCTAGATTGAACTAAGTACTGGAAAAGGGACATTAGTGGGACAATTGACAAAGAGTCAATAAACTCTGTAGATCATGCATTTTTCACTGGTTTTTTTTTTACCTGGTTTTAATAATTGTGCTATGGTTATGTAACATGGTAATATTTGGGGATGATGAATAAGAGTAAATGGAACTCTGTACTATTTTGTAACTTTTTTGTAAGTCCGAAAAATTTTCAAAATGAAAAGCTAAAATATAAAAAACTTAATGTGTCTATTTCTTTCTCCTTCTGGGACTTGAGAGATAACAGAATCAATATTCAAGGAGGTTTTTCTCCCTCCTAAGTACTTGGAGTATAGGGAAAATAGGCCCCTGTACTGTATAGTATATATTGAGCAGAGGGAAAAGGGGCCCAAGATGTGCTTTTAAACAAGCATTTCATATGACTGTACCCATGTGGTTCCTAGGTAACCTCGTCATAACCACCAGATAGAGGATTTGGTAGAAGAGGAAAAAGCAGAAGTGATCCAGGAAAGTAGAGGGTAGGAGCAGAGGGGGTGGTGAGAGGAAGTTAGGAGCTGCTGGTGGTGGGTTTCAGAAAGAGTTATTGGCTTTTGAATTAAGGGGCGAGGAAGAGAGACAGTTGTGGGGGGTAGGGAGTCACTATGGAGATATTAGGAAGGGCAGAGAAGGGACAGGGAGTTTAAAGATATTTTACTGGCATTATGCATATATGTTCTTTTTGCCATTTTCCTGTGAGTCTGCAATAAGGTTTTGATTTTTTATATATATTTTTTCCTGTTTTTCCTTCTTTGAGTAGCAGTCTATGCTGTGACTCGTCCTCAAAGGGCCTGTTTATAATCCTGTTACACTGTGACACGGTCCCGAGCATGCGCCTTGTACAGAAGACAGACAACATAACCATTTACCACTGACACAGGTAGATCTGGCCTTATGAAGAAAAACAGTTTGGCTCTGCAGGCTCAAATCCCACACGTCCGTGCACTACATCCTCCATTGCTGGGTGGGGATAGAGGCCCCACCCCCACCCTCCCCGTGAGTGGACCCGAGGAGGTTCTGCTGGGGCAGGGCAGCCAAGGGGCGACTCGGGCTCCTTCAAGGATCCCCTTCACCCTCAAAGCCCCTTTGTTTCTTCCTCACCATTTTCAGGACTGGAAACCAGAAATCAATCTGGAAAGAAAAAAAGGTAGATGAAAAAGCATTCAAGTCATTTCAAATGCCTCTGGCATAACCTTCTCACTGTGTGTTACTGGTGTCAGGAAAAATGCAAAAGCCTTTGAGATGGCTTATCCCTGTGGGTTATCTTGGGTTTTCATTGTCTTTGAGCTATTTTCCAATTCTGTACGTTGTAGATAGCTCATAGCAACAATGCAAATGATTCTCGGTCACGGACATACAAATGAATTTCACCTTATAGAGTATAATTGATCCTCCCATCCACCCATGTGGAAGAAGTTAGTCTTGCATCTATTAAGCAAATTCTTTTTGGTATTCCCCTTGGCCTATATATGTGTATGCTTTGAACTGTTTGGAACTTCTTACTGTTCCCTCTTTAATAAGTTAAATAAAATCTTTAACAAGTGTTCATTTTGTATGTGTGTGAAAGTCATCATTACCATATATATGTACAAGTGTATATATATGGTATACATTTATATATATAAATGGTGGAGAATGAGGAAATTCTAAGTTGCAGTAGATATTTCCCTCTTTCTTACTTATTTAGTCTTGACCTGGTAAAGTCACTCTTATTGGGCCCTGCCCTTTAGTGGCCACTACAGAGCATCTTCCCAAGTATCCTCTCTAGGATATGACTGAATAGACTCACTTGAAATCAGTGTTTTGAAGGATATCTTGTAGAATTCTCTGAACCAGCATGCAAAATCACAAAGCTAAGAGTCTTAGCCGTGTAAATCTGTTGATTTTTTCCCCGTGTCCCATCTATTGCTGGGATATAAGCCCTAATGTGAAGGTGAAGAACTTTGAAATTCCGCATGTCCTTCAAACTCAAAATTTCCTTAATTACCTTATACCACCATCTGGCCTTACCTTTGTAAAGTACAGACTCAATTTCCTTTTTACTTCTCCCACTGGCTGCTTTGATCTTTTCTTCAGTAGCTTTGCATGTAAGTATTGGATACGCTTGCTCTGCACGCTAGGGTAGAAGGATGCTGATACCAGGATTTTAAGTTGCGTCAGGATGGAGGCCAACAGTCCTAGCAAGACTAGCATCACAAGAATAATACTGAGAGGAATCCAGATCTTAGACAGAAGGAGCTTTGGTTTAGGGAGGCAGTTGGGTTCAAACAGAGATATATTAAAGGAAGAATCATGAATGATGTCCTGAGTTCCTTGCTCCTAAAATTAAAGAATAAAATCATCAATATCCATGCCATTTTCATACTCAGTCCTCATCTTTCTCAATACTGCCCTGCAACATGTACCAGTTATCTTAAAATATGCAGGGAGCTTTGCTGAAGGAGTTCCACTTTGTGAAAGGAGAAGGGCTGAGTCCTATTTGTAGCTATTGCAGTGTTATCCCAAGTGATTTTGTAGAAACAGAGATGTCCTTGAGAGAAAGGCATCAAAAAAGCTTGTCTGCTCTGTCCCTTCTTTGGAGAATCAGGATGCCCTTCTTTGAAGAGTCACTGTTGAAGCCTCTAACTTCAGCCAGCAGTTCTTCCTAAATACTCATCTTGGGCCCCTTGCTCCTCTGCTCGGTATATACTACATAGAATGAGGTTCGATTTCCCTTATACTCAGAGTACCTAGGAGGGAGAAAAAGATCCTTGAATGCTGATACTATTGCCTCTAAAGTTCCAGAATGAGGAAGAAATAAAGATACATTAATTGTTTTATATTTTAGCCTTTCATTCTGAAAAAAAAATTAAATAAAATGTCAAAAACAACCTGTGTTTCTACACCTTAGGGTATGTGGGAATAATGAAAGATGGCTTTAGCTCCACTGGGGGAGATTTTTCGGAGCATAGCCCCTTAAGACCCAGTCAGGGCCTCTCCATCTAGACATATGTACGGTCACAAGGATGCAGAGCGCTAAATTATGTTCTAAGTCAACTTTATAGAGTTTGGGATCTGGGGATTACTCTTAGCGAGTAATATTTATATTTTAATATGAATACTAGTTTACTAGTTAGTATTTACTGAAGGTGGCTGTAAAGTCTTATTTATAGAGGTCTTAAAATAGGACACTTTCTCCTCTCTTGGATGCTCAAGAGGAGCACAGTCCTTCCTGCTGGGAGGCAGAGAACAAGCCAGCTGCCCCCCGAGACTGACACGGAGGACAGAAGATGACGCTGAGCCACTGAGCCAAGCCACCAGCAAAAGAAATGTGTGCTGACTCAGCTCTTTCTTTTCCCTGACCTGAGAAAGTCATTTAATCTCTTGGTGGATTTGTTTTCTAATTTGGTAAAACAGGAATTAATGGACCAGATCATGCCCATGAATAAACTACTCCCAGTGTAAATGAAGCACCTTGGGGATGGAACATTAACCTTACAGACTGGAGTACTTAGTAAGTTATTATTGCCCCAGCACCCCAGAGCCCTGGGGCCAGGAGGAGGTGAATGACTTCTTGGAAAGAATCCAGCCACACCCAGAGCACCTAGTGCACCTGGGATCTACCCCAGCACCTGTGAAGAATCTGGAAACCCCAAACCTGGGACCTCTACACAGATGTCAAGACAAATCTGTAATTTCCCCAGCACTGTGCCTAAGCAATGAAAAGCATTTGCGTTGCCTCTCCTTCTCTCCTATTAAAAAGACAGTTCACCTACAATTAGAGAGATTTGGGTCCCCAGAGCAAAGGCATTCACTCTTTTTTAATACTATTGGAGAAACAAACACATAGATTGAGTCAGTGATAAGAAATCCTGCAATAAGAAAGCAGCGGGTGTTTGGTCTGGGGAGAAATTATTTAGTCTAGGACTCTAACTAGGGATTCTGCTGTTGGGAGTTAGGGCCTCATAAAGGTTGAATCAACATTTTTGTATGGGGTTGGTGAAGGGTAATGTGGAAGACAAATGAACTCTCTCAAAATGCTGAGCAATATCCTAAATGGTACCCTGATGTTTTAAAATGTGTTTACCTCTCTTAAGTAAACAATTTGCTAGGACAGCATTAAAGAATGGATGGAGGCCCCGCTCTGGTATCAGTCCTGAAAAGTTAATGTAGACAGTGCTGTGCTCAGTAAGTAACAACTATGGCTATTTTTATTTACAATGCCCACCCATCCAGCTCGCTGATTTGTGTCATTCTCCTTTCTTCTTTACATAAAACATTTATTTAAAATCCTATGAAAGTGGGAGAGAAATGCTGGTAAATCCTTGAGCTGATGTTCCTCATCCTGCTTGACTTCTCCTTGGCAAATCTGCAGCAACAGACAGACCAGGAGCCTCCAGGGGCATCGGGGGATAAGGGTGGGCAGTGCCGGGCATGTGGAAGCCAGCTGCTGGCAGTACCCCGGGCCGGCAGGGGAGAGTCTGAGAGGGCCTCCCAGGGCAGTCTCACACTCACATCTGCTCCGGAGCCCACCACCCTCCTGCCATGAGGGTGCCTGGCAACCTCCCCAACCAGGACGTGAGCCTCCGTGGCAGCCCGCACGCCCTAGACATTTTTGCATTCCTACCCAGCAATTCCCCAAAAGGTATTTGTCAGGACATTGTCATTGGAACACTTCTGTGCTTTTTCTGGAAAGCCAAACTTGGCTTTTTTGCCTTCTGTCTAAAACAGTGAGAATTCACCAAAACAGGCATGGGTGTTGGCTGACAGAGAAAAAAATGAGAGACACAAACGGAGAAAGGAAAGGAGGAACTGAGAAAAGAAGACCAAAAAAGAGGATAAGGAGAAGAAAGGGATGTGGGAAGAGAGGCCCTTTTATCAGCCCACCGTCCCCCATGTACAAGCACGTCTGAAAACCTTGTTAGACTTCCATTTCAAACACGGCTTCCATTATCTGCCCTGCCGCAGATATCTAGAGCAACAGGGTTCTTGTAATTAGCTGAATTCTTCAGGGGAAGCAGAGTGCTCAGAGTAATCAACTCTGAGAAGCAGCCCAGGATTAGGAGGGGAGGGAGCCGGGAGGTACCTGCTGACCCAGAAGAAAATGGGAGGGAAAGTGTGGGTGTAGCAGGAGGATCCCAGGCCCAGAGAGACAGAAATGGAAAGTGGGCCTTCAAAGGAGGGTCTACAGGCACTCCTTCTGCCATTTTCCCTCTGAGATTCCTCCAGCAGCCGGCATAACGTATTGTAGCCCCATAAAAAGGAAGGACAATCAGACATGTGCCAACAGCTGTTAGTGTTTTCACCTGCCTGGGCTAGTGCATCCCACCCACAGTGCATGCATGACACGCAGCACACACACAAACACGCACAGATGTGCACATCCCACCTAGCTCAGATTCACAATCTCTGGATTTAGAAAATAATAAGACTATACCTGACTATATCCAGATCCACTCAAGTGGCCACATAATCACAAATTTCCACAGAGGAAAAAGGAAAAGAGAAAAGATGGAATGTGCAAAACCTACAGTTTTCTCAGTTGGGACACAGCTGCCCAAAAGAGCAAGAACGGACGAGGGGAGGCAGATTGCCTAAGACTCAGGGGGCACCAGCTCAGAGGAACACACTGTTTTGGCTAATTAAGATTTTCATAGATCCCTCCAGTGGCGTTTAGAGGTTAAACTTTGGCTCCATTGTTTAGGTGGCGGGTTTAGAACAGTGGTTCTCAATCCTGGCTGCACATTAGAATTACTTGGAGTTTTTTTTTTTAATTGTTCCCCTAGGCCTCACCCCAGGCCAATTAAATGTGAATCCCTGTGTGGCCAGAGCAGAGCGTCAGGTTTGTTTGCACGTTAGCTCAGTGCCGAAGCTGGGCAGCCCTGGTCAAGGACCACTGGTTAGAAGGCCCTTGCTCTCCAGCACATGGGCGAGTTTCCCAAAGAATACTACGAGCCACCTACTTTGAAATCACTCAGAGTGCTTATTGTAAGTGCTCTCCTGCTTACAACAGAGTTTCTGTAAATCGAGGCCTGAGATTCTGCATCCATTCCAGGAAATTGTCAACACATACTGACAGTTGAGAGCTACTGTCCTAAAAAGACAGAGTAGCTCTTTCCATTTTTGTAGTGGATGTTACTAGCACCAGCCATTTTATTGCAGCCCTTCATCAATGACCTATCACTACACTGATGCATTGGGAGCCTTCCAGGCTTGATAAGGACTCAGGATGTAAAGAAAAGAAGTTCTTATTCAGAGGAGGTGCTCGAAGGCCACCTGCACAAGTTGGAGGGAAGGAAGAAGTCAGGCACTAACTTACCTCTTAGGCTAATCTTAGGTATTCCACTTAAGAATCAACTTTACGTTCCACATCAGAGACCCCTATTCCACGTTTCAGTATTTGCTCACTGTAGGCAGCCAAAAAATGCCTGTCTGAAGATGTAACGTCCTAATCCCTGAAATCTGTTAAGTATTACTTTATTTGGAAAAAAGGAACTTTGCAGATGTGACTAAGTTAAGGATCTTGAGATAGAAAAGTTACCCTGGATTATCCTCATGAGCCCTAATTCGATTTCACGCATCCTTTAAGAAGGAGGCAGAAAGATTTCACACACCAAGAAGTAGGCGATGTGAAGACAAGCAAAGTTAGAGTGAAGCAGCCAGCAGCCCAGGAATGCCAACAGCCACCGGAAGCTGGCAGAAGCAGAGGAGGTCCCCCCAGAGTCCAAAGGGAGTGTGGCTCTGCCAACACCACCTTGATCTCAGCCCAGTGACACTCATTTTGGATTGTTGCCCCTAGCACCATAAGAAAGTAAATTTCTGTGTTTTAAATCACCCAGTTTGTGACAATTTGTAACAGCAGCCACAGGTAACTAACAGAGACCAAAGATTTCCAGAATGATATCATTTTCTAACATCAGAACTTTGATTCGATTTAACCAGCAATTGGGCTCCTTATGCATGCCCGGTGCTGTGCCAGCACAGGGGTCCCGAGGTGAACAAGACACTGGCCCACCTTGTTTGAATCATGATCTGTTGCGAGACAGACCACCAATGAGCTGGCGGATGCTGCAAGAAGTCCCTGTGAGGGCTTACCTCTCTGTGCAGTGTCAGGTGAACCTCAAGCCCTGGTAAGCTTTGGAAATGTTTGCTCACTGAGAAAATGAGCCAGTACAGCAGGTAATCTATGGCTGCGAACAGCACCCAGAGGTAGAGATGGATAAGTATGGGGAGGAAAAACAGCCCCAGGTTCTTCCTTTCTCCAGGAGTCAGCCAGAACGACGGGATGATGACATACTTCTTCCTTTCCGTCCTGTTTAGCGGGAGGACACAGGGCCTCTGGTGATGCCTCTCCCTTTCATCGAACCTAACAAATTGTCTGGTGATGTAGATGTTTTCAAACTTCCAACCACAAGGGTCCAGAAATCGCTTCATGAAGAGGCCAGTGCCAAGTAGCGCCAGGAAAAGCCCCGTGAGGGCAAGGAGCTGCTGGCCCAGGGAAGACAACACCTCACTTGCCGTCACCATCCTGTACAAGACACCCAGAACTCTGCCTTTGGTGTCATTTAGCTGTGCCTCCAGGGCCTGGCTGGGACTGGAAAGAGACACTGCCAGAGTCTGGTTCCAAGAAACAAGGTCATCAAATAGACTTACGTGTGTGGCAAGGCCATAAATCCACTGAATTGCTTCAATATATTTTTTCAAAAGTGGAAAATATATGGAAAAGCTCTTTGCCCTTAGGTTGCAAGTCATACTGTCCAGGAGAACTTTAAAGTTGTGAAAAATATTTTCCACATGTCCAAAGATGACCATCCCCATGCCAGCTGCAATCAAAGCACCCCGGCCTTCACGCAAGCCACAGGAGAGGACGAAGAGGAGCACAAAGCACCGGGCGTGCCTGGAGCAGCACAGCAGAGTGCACATGATCATCCAGGAGGCGGCAAGGACCCCAAATGAGGACAGAAGCCAGTGGGAGACCACAGAGAGGAGGCCCACGGAAGTGAAAGCCATACAGCAGCAAACTCCCAAATGCTGGAGGAGGTCCCTCCATCCTCGGCTTCTGGGAGCCACATAAGTCCCCCAAAGACTTAGGATTATATCAGTGCCTGAGCTCCAGACACCCATGCTTCCTATTTCCCTGTAAATGAAAGGGAAACCATGTTCAACTGTTGCCTTTGAATGTCCTCTATCACTTTGTAAAGGGCCTGGTGGTGGATTGATTGCCAAAAATAGCCATAATTCTTTACCCCTCTCTATCTCCATATGCCTTCAAGGTGACTTTACAGCTTCTCTCATCAAGAAGTGAGAGAAACAGAGTCCATCAAGAGGTGAGTCTATTTCTCTGACCCTTGCATTTGGAATGGCCTTGTGATGTCTTTGGCCAATAGAATGGCCAAGTATGGCGGAAGTGGCTGCAGGCCCATCCTGAGTCTATGATTCACTCCTGCTTCTCTCTCAGAGCCCTGCTGCTAACTTTTTTAACAAGTCCAGGTGTATTAGTCTCCTACTGAGGCTATAGCAAGTTACAAGCTTAGTGGCTTATGAAAACACATGTTTCTCTCTTACAGTTCTGGAGGCTCCAGGGGAGAATCCATTTCCTTGCCTTTCCCAGGTCAAGAGGCTGCCCGTTCCCTTGGCTTGGGGGCTCTGCTCCCTGCCAAAGCCAGGAGCATTGCATCTTCTTTTCTCTCTGTCTGCTCTCTTCTCTTTATGGCTCTGACCCTCCTGCTTCCTTTTTATAAGGACCCCTGTGATTATATTGGGCTACCCCTCCAGATAATCCAGAATAATCTCCCCATCTATGGATCCTTAACTTAATCACACACATATAGAGTCCCTTTTGCCACGTAAGGTAACACATTCACAGGTTCTGCGCGTTAGGGCATGGACATTTCGTGGAGGTGGGCATTACTCGGCCTGTCGCGCCAGGTGGGGCTGCTTCATGACAACAGGCACACGACCAGTCAATCCCACCAACTCAGCCGATAGCCAGCTACCTGGCAGACGGGCGAAGGATGCCATCGCCTAGACCAGCCAGTCCCCAGCCAGCCCACCAGCTGAGAACACACACTTTAGTGATAATAGATAGTTATTTATTTTAAGCCACTGAATTCTGTGATTTGTTAGGCAGTGATTGTTAATGATAAAAGCAGCCATACCGCCTCAGGGGTCTTAAAAGTTGAAATAAACCCTATGCTGATGGATAGGCTAAACTGTCAATTAACTGTATTATGTAAGATTGCTTTTTGATAGTCATCTATTTTCTTGTGCTCCAGTTTTATGACCAGAAAGAACACCAAGGGCATCTGAGCTTCAGTGTGGTGGTGCCCTGAGGCCACTGGGTCTGCTCTGTGACTGTTGCATCTTCCACTCCCTCTCCCCCTGCCCCTCCCCTCTGAGGGGAGTTGCCGCTGGAGAATCTTACAAGGAAAACAAGAATATTTTGTCACTGAGTTAATCATATTTTTTCTCCCATATCAGGCGTAATTCAAATGAAGGTTCTATGAGGCTGCTACTGCCCTGTCAGTCATGCCGAGTCTGTGATGAACTCAGAGAACCTTGGGTTCATTTGGACTGATATAAAATCAATTTGAGACATTTCTCTCTTGATTGACATGATATATCCTATTGTACCGTATATATGCATGCATCTAATTATACCATATGTGTGCATTGAGTATACCATATATATGCAAGCATTATACCATATATATGGTACTTTAATAAAGACATTGATCAGTTTTTAAACATCCTCAAATAAATCCCTTCTCACATTGAATATGAGGGGACTGGATTTTTGCAGTAGCTTAATACTGTTGGAACCATGCATTACACTGAGAGTGTACGAGGGGTGTCTAGGCATTGGCTAGAGGGTGTGAACTGAGTAACCGAATTCTCTCTCTGTGTTGAGGCTGAATGAGGGTCATGACAGACAGAAATGGGATGGAGACATTGGCAGGTTAGGAACAAACGTGTGGGATTTTCTCCTGCAATAATATAGGGGGGCTTGCAGTTCCTACCACGTGATCTGAAGGCAAATGCTCACGCAGAAAAGAGATATGGGGAGAGATTAAGTGTTGAAGAAGGGTCATTTCTATATGGGACTGGCCTTATCAGAGATTCAAGACCCCTCATAAAAGGGTGTTCTCACTCTCTCAGGAAAAAAGGGGATTGAAATGGCGGAAAAAAGGGGATTGAAATGGCCGTTAGAACCTAAAAAAGGATGCAGCTTTTTTCTTGCAAGCTTGCTTCCTTTCGGAATCTCAGGCTGCTCTGAAGGTTGGTGGTGCTCCACGCACCAACCCCCAACTCTGACCCCCAGAAATCACCAAAGGGCATCAGTGCTCCTGAGCCTTCCCAGCATTGCCAGCCTGAGTCAGAGCCTCCTCGAGGCCTGGCAGCAAGACCTGAGCAGTCAGCAGCCAGCAGGAGGGTAGCAGGCAGGACGCGAGCCCCAGAGCCAGCCGCAGTGCTGCTGCTCCTCCCAGATGCATCCCCATTTGTCTCAGCTTCAAATTTGACCCCAAGCCATTGTTTGACTAATTGATACACTAACAGGGATTAATTACCTCTTATGTTTTAGGCACTTTACATAAAGCAGCTCTCTACATCCTCCCTGAAGCCTTTGGAGAGGAATACTCTGCATTTCACCCAGAGGAAAGTGAGGCTCAGAGTGCTGATTGAAATGTATCCGCCATCACACTGAGAGTAGGTGGTACGGTGAGATTCCACCCTGGTCTCCCAGACTCCTGGCTGAGCTCCCTGCCGCCTGCTCCAGGCCCAGATTGAATGACTCTGGGTTGTGTGACAGGACACTCAATTCACTCTTTCTGCTGGAAACACATTACACTTTCTGCCAGTGACCACCGAAGAGCAGGCCTATGTATCACGAATGCATTTCTATCCCATTTTTTTTCCATTTTATAGTTGGCCCTGTAAAGACATGTCTCAAATTAGCATATTCAGAGATCCCAGCTATTTTATTTTTTCTAATATCCTTTATGAGGCATCCTTTTGCTTGCTTCCTAAAAAATTAATAATGTATATTTTGGATTCATTTTTCCCTTGTCTTGCTTTCATTTTGTACAGTGTGTTCTTAATACAGATATTTCTGTGAAAGTAAGAAACAGATTTATGGATACATTAAAACTTTAACATTCAGCAATAAAATCCGATATCAATTAAATAAGATATATGACTGCAATTTTGTCCTGCAAGAGGCACATATTTTCTTAACGCGCAACAGATCTAGTATTATCCTTCTTGTTTTTGTGCTGCAAAGAGCACGTCACCCAAGGACACCCAAGGAACTTCTGCAGGAAGAGAACCAAATGCATTCTCTCCTACTTTATAGTTCAAGCCACAAAGAGCAGGACCGTGGGCTCCAAGCCCAGGGGCTGGTGTCGCACTCCTCCCTTCCTGTCACTCTTGAGTGTGGCCTGCATTTCTTCTCCATCCTCTCTGCTCTTTATTGTCCCTACTTGAATATAAGACCTGCCTGATCTCCTTCCAGGTAAGCTTTACAAGGTGAGGTTTGGCAAGCACTTTAAGATGCCCTGGAGAGAAAGTGTCCAGTAAATGCAGCCCATTTCTTCTTGTTTCCTTGCAGCCACAGAACATTGAGCACTTCCATTCTCTGAAGACCTTTAGGCAGGGACTGAATGCCCAGGTTGACAGGAGGCTTCGTGCTAGGAGCTGGGCCGGACTGCCTGCTCAGCACTGGTGTTTACACGTCTCCTGCAGTTGTCTGCTGAGGCTCTCCTCTGGTGCTTGCAGTGGTGCAGCGGTTCTGATCTTTCTTCACATAGTCCAGCTCTTTCCTATTAGCAAGTCACTGAGTCAGAATTTGGATAAGCCAGTTGCTTGTTTCTTTCCCAAAGACTTTGTCAAGCGGATATCTGATTCTTAAATTTTATTTTTAGAGCTAGAAAGAATCTTACTGATCAAAGTCTCTTAAAGCTGAGTATGTAATTACTGAGGGAAACTTATTAAAATGCAGGTTTCAATTCCAAAGGTCTAGAGAGACACAGGAGATTTTGCATGTCTAACAAGTTCCCCAGATGGGGCTGAGGCTGCTCATCAGAGAGCCAGACACTGAATAGGACGTTCTAGAGCTCAACACTGTCTGACAGGCCTTTCTGTGATGATGGAAATGTTCTGTATCTGTGCTGTCTTACACGACCGGCACTAGCTGTATGATGATTGAGCACTTGAAATAGTGCCAGTGTGACTAAGGAGTTGAATTTTTAACTTTATTTAATTTTAATTAATTTAAATTTAAATAGTCACGCGTGGCTGGTGTCTAGGTGTTGAAGAGTGCAGCTCTAGACGATTGACACCTAGCTGGCTGGTTTCCACAGATGAGGAAATGAAAATCCAAAATGGCAAAGGGACTCACTGGGGCCATCCTGGCATTGGAGGCAGAGCTGGCAGGGAGACCCCAGTTTCCCACTACTCAGTGACACAGGGTTGCTGTCTCATCTCTGACCTCTCATGAACCCTGTTTTAAAGTCCTTACCGGTACTCCTGAATAATGGAGTTTAAATTTCCCACATAACAAACTTGCCTCAGGCTCCACAAAATAAAAACTATAGCCTATGCCTCTATCTGAGACCTGGAAAAAAAAGAACCATGACAGATAATAGTTATAAATTTGTTAACCAAGTGCCTGGCCACTGCTTTAGCATCTCACATGCATCAGGTCTAATCTTCATAGCAGCTCTTTATTATTATGTATACATCTTTTAGATGAGGAAACTGAGGCTCAGAGAGGTTAAATAACTTACCCAATCTCACACAGCTAATAAGTGGAAGAGCCAGGATTCTAACCCATGTTTAAATGACACGGAGGGTTCAGGATGAGGAGCCTCTCAGATCCTCTTTTAACATGGTCTTCAAAGAGGAGCTTCTAATTTTGGTTGAAATATTCCCAGCATCAAGCACATATCCTGAAATGGATTCAGTAATGCTGGCATAAGCTCTCCTTGTGCTGTCACCTGCACCTGGGGTCCTCCACCTTCTCTGCCAGCACAGCCATACTGAACCCTCCAGAGCCAACCGTGAATCTCCTTTCCCTGCGCCAACTTTTGCTCAGCTGTGTCATGCTGCCACGTTCTACCTAGGCTGCTCCAGCCAGCGTTAGGTTTTCACTTATGCATCCCTTAAACCAGGCCCATCTTGGTGTCAGGCCCATCCTGGTCTGAGGTCCTTGCTGCAGGGCCCTCATTCTCAACTGAGCCATCGCTCCAGGTCAGGGAGATAAGAAGTGCATTAAGTGGTGGTCCCACCTTCTCTGTTGTGCTGGGGGTCAGGATTGGGCCAATCAGAGCAGGGAGGGCAGCACTCCACATTTCAAATGCTGACGAGCACTGTACAGAGTGAAGTAAATCAGGAGTTGCAGATGCTTCCTGGAGGTGTGAGCCGTGGTCTCAGGGGCCAGAGAGCCCAAACCCCAGTTTAAATTACAGGGGCAGCAGGCCCTAGCCCAGTAGATTTTCTTCAAGGCTATATAGAGACCCAGTGTTGCTAGATTTCCTGATTTTTTTCAAAGTGAGGAATCTAGATTTCTTTAGGTGACATCTCCTAATTAGAAAAAAGAAAAATTGCCTCAAATTATTTTTAAATGCTCTGACTGGCTGGTTTTGGTTGTTGACTGCCAGTCTGCAACCCTTGGTCTTTGGGGAATCCTCATTGCCCCTCCTTTGCCTTCTGCTCTGCCTCCCTGCTCACCATATGTTCCCTCTTCTCCTCTCATCTGAAGTACCTTTCCCTCTTTTTATCCCCTGGCATTTTCAAATCATGCTGTAGGTCAGTTTCCAATCTCATGCAAAAGACTTTTCCTTATGCCTTGGGAATACTTATTTTTGCCCAAAGATCTCTCACTCTATTTTATGCCCTCCTCTCATGCTGCTAGATGGAGCCCCTCCCTCCCTCTTTCAATGGCATCTTCTGGCAGCTTCTAAAAGGCTAACCTGATTCCTTTAACCGCAATTTCTCTTTATTTTGTCTCCATTATCAATAATGTCTACTGCCTGAGTCAGCATCCTTGTCTGCCCAGGACAGAGCACCAGCTTCTTGCTTTTACCAACAGCAACATCCTGAGAGTCATGACCACTTTCCTGCCTTTATCCTTAAACTACACCCTGGGCTGGGGAACCACTTCTGAAGTCCACAGGAGAGTACCACCAAGGCCCCACCTCTTCCATGGGGTTAAAGCAACTTTGGTGGCTGGGTGGGAGGAAACAAGGGCTGGTGATGAGGAGACCCTGGTCCAAGCTGGAGCCATGCAGTCTGTGCGGTCTGTGTGTCCAGCCTGAGCCCCCCACTGTCTGCTTTCATGTAGGGCCAAGCTGTTGCCATGGGAAACAGAAGCAGCCTTCTCCATCACCCTTGCACATGCTAACAAACACCGACCGTGAAGCACACACAAGGCGGCCTCATTGTTTTCCCTGGGGGATGCCAGTAGAATCCCTGGCATGGAGGGCATAGGCTCCCAGCTGCAGCCCCACCCTCAGAGCCCTGTTAGCCTGCTTTGTTGGGAGTCAAGGAGAACAACATTTTTGAACATCGTCCTTTGAGCACAGGTCAGCTGTCAAGGTGCAAGAATGCATCCTTGGGTCAGACAGAAGGACCGCTCAGCAGCCAGGACAAACGCAGCCATGAGCTAATAACTAGAGCCTCCCAATGAATGGCCCACCCCATGAGCCTACTAGATGGGGACACTGAAGACGCACAGCACCAGTGCCACTCCAGGTCTGCCCAACAGAAACCCACAGGATTGCTGCTTTTGCAGGTGTGAGAGAGATCAATGTGGCCTTCTCTGTGGCAGGATCTGGAGATGAGGACCTCGGGAGCTGTCCTATTGCTCCCACGTTTCCCCACTTGCAAATCACCCACCTTGTCTGATATCCAGAAATTTCCATTAAATGAGATTAGCTCATTCAGCCCCTGCTCCTCATGCAGAAGCCGTGGCTTAAGCTCAACAATCCCAAATATGGTCTGTAGACACCCTGGGGAAAAATAAACCCAGGCTGACGATCCCTCTATTCTTCCTGTGCTCCTCCAACCAGTCCCTTGTGGGAACATGGTCTGAACCCATCAGGCACTCTCACTGTCTTTAGGACTTGATAAGAATAGCATTTTAAAGGAGACTGAGACAAAGGGCAGAGTGGAAAAGGAAAAAAGCAAGGAGCAGGAAGATGGGAGACATGTGGTCCAGACTGCCTCCACCCGGAACAGGCTGTGAGACCTTGGGTAGGTCACTTCCCCTCTCAGGACTACAGCTCCCTCAGGTTAGCCAAGTTCTAAGGTCTCTGCTAGCCCAATAATCTGAGATAAAAGGCAAAGGAGGCTGCGAGCTGTCTCCAGGCCCTGGCGTTCTGCAGCAGCCCAGCATCTGCAAGCGGGACCAAAGAATAGAGGGTTTCTCATCCTTTCCTTTCTTCCTTGTTAAACTCTTGCAACCTTATAGCCTGGTCGGGAGCAAACCGTTCTTTCAGACTGTCAAAATAGCTCAAGCAGGCACCGAGGCCTCTGTTTGAGGCAGAATGAATTCCTCATAACTTTGTTTTGATCATTTTTGCCTTAGGAAAGCCAGCAAATGCCTTCCTCTGTGAAAGCAGCCTTCACACAAGAAAGGGAAGGTTAGTGAAAGCTACCGGGCAAACGGAAGAGCATTACAGGACAGTTCAGCGCATCACTGTGCACGGCGTTGTCAGCAAGGCCTGGCAGCTCTTCTGTGGCAGGACAGGGCCAGCCCGGCTCTGCCCCTCTGCCAGGAGGCTGGGCGACAGGGATTGAGCCTTCCAAAGCTGGGGTATGGTGCGTTTACACAAGCTGCTCTGTGAGGCGGATATTCATGCCATAGTCTTCCCTGAGATGGGAGTATTCATATCCCTCAGGCCAACATTAACCAAGATTTTCTGCTATTTCTGCCCAGAGGTAAACTGCCAGGGGTAGAGGAGGGGGCTTAAAGTATCCTCTGGTCTCAATTGTTTATTTCAATTTACTAAATTTTTCCATAAAAAAGAGTAATTGCAAGAACGAGTATTCTGAAGGTTTACTTACGGGTTCTTGTCAGGTTCTTCTTTGAGTGCAAAAATGCACTTCCCATGGGCTCTGAGTCTTGATATAGAACAGGAAAAAAGGAACCAGAAGTGACAAGAGGGTCACATCGCCATGAATCAACCTCTTTATTTCCCCTGCAAAGTGACTAAGTCATTTAATATTGACAAAATCCGTGCAAAGGAATTGCATATTCTTTCTAGTATTGTCTTCAGAATAGATGCTACAGAACTCAATTGTAGAAAATAATGAAATAGGACATTTTCAAACACAAGGCAGTAAGTCATGAAAGCCTGGATAGTCTCTTTCTCTCTTCCTTTCCCCTCAGTTTTCTACACCCCACTCCCGCAGCAGGGCCATGACAGACCTGCACCGTCCTCACTCCCATCCACAGCTGAAGAGGCAGACTGCATGGAGGAGCCCCCTCTGCACTGATGACACAAGACAGGTGTCATGATCTGTGCAAGGGACTCTCAGTCTTGCAAGGGACTTTCCATCTTATAAACTCCGCTTCCAAGTCAAGAGGAGCAGCTTGTGTGCTTCCAGATGTTGCTGGGCAGCTGTGTCGGGGGAGTTCTCTCCCTGTGCACTAGGTGAGACCTCAACATTGTGAGGGAAGGGCTCTTAATTCTGATCAGGAAAGAATTCTCAATCAGGTCAAATATCTTCCAGTGAGGAAGGAATTCTTTAGAGCAAGAGTAGAAGCGAATGTCAGCAGCCATGCAAGCAGTAGAGAGCAAGGAACAACAGAGGGAGAAAAGGAAAGTTCATTGAACTACTGAGCAGCATAGGGCAAACCCCTTGTGAACCTGGCATCCACCGTCTGCTTGATCTGCACAGTGTGGAAATTACTTACCTACCACCCCAGTTTGGGGAAGCCACGGAGCACTGTACGGAGTGAGATTGTGTTCTGAGAACTTCCACTCTCCTGCTGGTCTGAAATAAAACAGGGAGAGAGGAAAAGGACTGTGTTAAGACTAGAAGGCTGAATGAAATAGCAAAATAACAGACATTTACCACTGAAGGTGGAGGTCAGCGATTTCTTGTCTTTGTCATGAAAAAAGTTCAGAGACCAAGTGTAATAGGCTTATGCAACAAGAAAGTTGATTTCATTGGACAGTACACACTGATGGGGGGTGCAGGTGACCTCAGAGAGGAGGCAGGCTGAAGGGTTTAGGTTTGGGATTTATAGGGTCTTTTGGATAGTGTTGGCATAAGGCATGATGTATTCAGATGATTAATAATTCCTTCAAAGTTTTGTCTTAAGAGCAGGGTTGATCCAGATTTGGGAATTCCTCACCCATGTAGATTCATTTACACTCTGGAGGTCTATGTCTTGTCCTGGTTACAAAATTACTATTGATTAAGGGGCTTGAAGAAGAGAAAGAACAGCATATAGATTAAATTAAAGAATAAACTGGGCCTTTTTTGAAGGTTAAATAGATTTTACAATGGCATGACCCTTGTCCCATTTCCCTGCTCTATCGTACAGGGATAGGAAAGCCTCAAAACCCTTCTACAAAATTGGTGTTCACCTTTGGATTGAGATTCATGCCAAAATGCAAACATTCCTGAGAAGGGTTGATATAAAAAATAGGTACAAAATAAATAATTATATAGATGGGTCCCTGAAAACTCTTATCAAACATCATGGTGAATAGACACAAATGCTGGGATATCACGTGACTATCTTTCAAAAAATAGTAGAGATCCAGTGAATGTTGTGAGCAAATTTACATTACAAAACATCAGTGGCCATCACTGGAGTGTGTTGGAGGGGACTGAGTATAGGGACAGGGAGCTGAGTTAGGAGATAGGATCAGTGTATTCATCAGGGTTCTCCAGACTAGTAGAATCAATAGAGTGTGTGTGTGTAGAAAGAGAGATTTATTTTTAAGGAATTAACTCACATGATTGTGGGGACTGGCAAGTTCAGTATCTGCAGGGTGGGCAGGCAGGCAGGAGACCCAGGGAAGAGTTGATATTGCAGCTCAAGTCCAAAGATAAATCACAGGTAGAATCCCTCTTTCTTGGAGGATCTAAGTCTTTTTTCCCTTAAGGCCTTCAACTGATTGGATGAGGCCCACTCATATTATAGAGGATAATCAGCTTTACTCAAAGCCTACTGACACAAATGTTAATCTCATTGAAAATATACCTTCCCATTAACATCTAGATTAGATGTTTGTCTAGGCTCTGAAGAGTGAATGGATAGACTGGTAGCTGAGGGAAGAAAGGAAAGGAATCAGTGATGATCAGGACTTTCTGTTTGAGCTGAGAAGAATGTGGTGGTTCATAGGAAATGTGGCTGGAGAAATCAAGTCCTAGGAAGATGCTGTAAACAGCCAGGAATGTGGGCCTGGGCTTAGGAGAAGATGTGAGGTACAAAGACAGAGAGATGAGAATTAGCCAGACAGTGTCTGTAACATAGCACCCAGAGCATTTCTGTTGAATTGAGTTGTAAGTTGAAACTATGAAACCAAATGGATTTTTAGAGGGGACAACGTGGAGAGAAAAGAGCAAAGAGTGGGGATCTCGATCTAGCGTGTACTGGGCTGCAGGGCACCCTCCTGGCCCTCAAAGGGCTGGGGCTGCTCTCACAGATACCTTCAGGGAGTGCTTCAGAAGCCTGTGTGCCTCCAGCAAGGCAAAGAGGCCTGTCCTGGCCTCAGGAGGGGTGATGGGGGGAAGGAAGGCATTCCAGGCAGAGGAAACAGTGTATACAGATGCCTGGAGACCAGTGAGAGCTGCAAAAGTCTGGTTGTGACTGAAGTGTAAGGGACTAGGGACAGGTGGTCACAAATGATGCAGGCACGCCTGCCAGGTCCATATGCTTGACAGCCCTTCATGTCAGCCAGCTGGCTTAGTCCTGAAGGTGAAGCAAGCTATCGAACCAAGATATTTTTCACTTGAATAAGAAAGTCCAGACCACAGTGTGGATGCCTGATTGGGTAATCTAGAAGCTACGCTGGGAGCCCTAAGGAAGGGATGCGTTGGGGAATGGAGAGCCAGAGGCAGGCTGGAGAACATGAGGGTGAAAAGGAGAAGGAGGCGCAGGAAATGGCCCCAGATTTTGGTGGGAGGGTCACTAAGTGCCCTTGAAAGAGCCATTTCGGTAGAGGGCTGGGAGTGGTCCAGAGGCAAGGAGGGGAGGGGCAAGCCAACCATCACTTCCTAGTAGTGCTGGGGAGGGAAATGGAGAGGGAGAGGGCAGCAGTAGAGAAGCAATGGTTTGGGTTTTAGGAAGAGCAGAGAAAACTTTGTATATCAACTTTGCAAAGGAGAATGAAATAGGAGTAAAGAAGGAAGGCTGCTGAGGACGGTCTCAGTCCTCCTGAGGGAGGAGGAGAGGGGGCTTCTGCTAAAAGAGGGGAGACAGAGGGTGCTCACTCATGGAGAGCAGCAGCTAGAGGGAGCACAGGGCTAGAGAAAGAAAGCAACGGCCCCCCAGGCTTAGGGGCCATCACGGGAAGAGTGAGCACGGTTTAGAGAGCCCCCAGCAGAGCCCAAGCTTTGGAGCCGGAGAAAACGCCAACTGAGTTTAGATCTTGGAGACTCTGAAAAGTGGGTACAGCTTAGAGTCAGGGGGCTGGAGGCAAGAGGATGAGATTTTGCTGTTGCTGCAAGATTCCTTTCCTGGGCTTCCCAGGAACTTAAGAGAATGGGAAAGCTATGCTCAGCAGGGAAGTTTAACCTGATTCAGCTCAAATGTTCCTTAATGATTTTGAAAGTCTGAAATTAGTGAGCCTCACTCTTTGAGAGTGTCTGTACACCTCAGATAAATAGCTTCAGAGCAGCAATGGTTTAGAAGGCCTGATATGCAGGGTTCATCCTGATCCCAGTGCCAGGGCCTGGTGGCCACCAGCCAGCTAAACCAGGGCCGGATGTCCAGGGCACCTCTAGGGCTCTGCCTGAGGCGGCTGACGAGCAGCAGTGAGTCAGGGGTGAGATGACTCTAAGGGCCCAGGGCCAGGAGCAGCTGCCATCGGCGTCTCTGTCCCACAGAAGGATTTTCAATTTGATGAGTCATGAAGTATGGATAAAACAAGGATCATGTAAGACTCATGATTCATTCAACCAAGGGATCCTTTTGGAGGACTGAGATAAGGAGAAGTTGTTTTGTAAGGCCTTGCATAGACAAGTGTTGCCATTTTGTCCATTTAGTAGCTTTTAGCCCCTTAGAAATTGCTGTAGTCTTTCCTGAACTACCTCTTAGAGGTGCTAAATTTCATATGTTGAATGACCAATGAAAGAATTCTGTCCCATGAATCCAGTGTACCGTCTCTACTCTAAAAGTCCCTCCTTTTACTTTTGGAGTGATATTCCCATGTCTATTTTTCTAAGATGGTCAAGTTATGTCCTTTACAATGAAAAATCTTGTTCATTTCTGCTGTTTCAACACTAAAGTCTTCTGGTGTTTTGCACCCACATCCCCTGAGTCCCACTTCACCTTTTTTGTCCTCTCCAGGATATTTTTCTAGCTCCATCAGCTACTTCTCCTGTTTCAGGCGTAACTGTGCACCAGGCCTGTGCTGGGACCCAAGGCTCCCTGATTCCACGAGCTTGGTCTGGCTCTCACAACAGACGCACATGCCAGGAAGTCTAGACAAAGGAATGAAGATGGTACATAGAAAGGCCAATGGAAACCCAGAGAGGATCCCTGGACCGTCTCGGGGGTAGAGGGTGCAGTGAAAGAGAGCCATAGAGGAGAGGGCACATGAGGGTGAGGATGAGTTCACCAGATGCGGCGAGTGGGAGGAGCATGAGTCAAACCACAGAGCCCGGCGACTGCCACTGTCCAGCCCTGCTGCAAGCTCACCCTCCCTGCGATCAGACTGTGGGTGCCTCAGCCCTGGCCAGGGGGACCCAAGGGGAGTCTACAAGGAGCTTGTAGAAGAACGTCCCTCTCTCTTAAGAAGACACTCAGGAAGAAGTAAGTTCATCTTACTAGCCGTGGTTGTGCCTGCCTGTGACTCCA